AATGTATTTGACACTGTTCATCATCTTTATGTTCATCATCTTATCCTTCCTATCCGCTGTTCATGACTCCTGCTGGAAGACATGTTCTCTCCATGCTAGAGAGTGGAAGATGTAATAGGCGAATGCTTATCAAAGTGTTTCCATATGTTAGTTGTATGATTCTGTTTTTCCTCACTTTTTTCCTATATAAGTTGAACTATTTTATCTGCTTCTTTTTTGGGGAACACATTCATTCTTAGATTGCACATTTTTGCACTTTGTAGGTGCGCCCTTTGGCCATCAAGCCTTTTCTTGTCAGAGATCATAGTTACTTACCAGGATACTTTTTCAAATAAAGTTTGCTTTGAGGTAAAGGAATCTAATCACAGAACTTCTTGTATATTGAAATATTCAATTTAATCAACCTTATTATTATTTGACTAATGTTTGGACTAGAGAACAAACCGAATCTTTTTCCCACATTATATTGTTTTGAACATTGCCAACCATGTGGATGAAATTGTTATTTTAGTGCGATACCATTCTCTATAACTGGATGGAACATGTGAATAAAAAATGGCTAAATCATGTAAAAGATCAACAATTTCATGCTCTATATAGAAAACACTAGAATAAAATAAACTAACCAAATCTGATGGCCCTTGAATTGCTTAATTTTCTTGGCTAATCATTACGAGGATCAATCTTATATTCATAAGGATTGTTGATTACTTTTACTTATCACAATGGACCATCCATGAATTGTGCTGATTTGTGGTGTATGGCAATCTATATGAACTAACAGACAACATGAACTAATACGACTGAAATACAATTGGATAATTACTGAATATGTATAAACCATTAAAAATTATTCTCTATTACCCATCTGCCACTCATGTGGTCCCAAAACTCAACATGGATCATTTACTGAAAAATCTATGAGGAAGGGTTCATCATTAGGTTGAGGTTCGTGTGAGTAGAAATTAAGGTTGAGGCTTCTAGTATATAGATAAATGCTTCCAATTCATTTGTCATTAATATGTATTATGAGGAGTAAAGGGGAATGAGTGATGAATATCATACATTGATGTAGATCTACAGAAGCTTTTGGACTAGACTGACATGGGAGGAAACCTTTGCCATGTTGGATGATATTTTTGTATTCTCATATGCATATTCTTTATTTTATTTTATTTTATTTTATTTTTTGTGTGGGGTGGGGTTTGCCTGTATATACACGCAGATATCACCCATCTTGTCGCTTTGCTAAAAGTGGGGGTACAGAGCCAATGTTTTAAATATTGGCCGATAAACTAATATTATCAGCGATTTATCGGTTTTGGGGGCCTTCCGCTATGATAAGTTTGATTCTAAATCAGTTGTCATTGTTGGATATTTATCGCCGATAATGCGGCAATAAAGCGAGTTATTGACCGATATTGTTGGCCAAAAAATTAGAATTATCGGATTCAATTTGAATTTTAATTTCGGGCAACATGCATCTATTTAATGCATTTTAAACCCGACCCGACCCGAGTTTCTACCGTTAGTGATCCTAAACATAATTATTTACATTTTGGTATGTTTATATTTCATTGAGTATGGTTAGATTACATATTAGAGTATTATATTATGTATATCACCATCCGGTAATGTTACTCCGATTACTATTACTTATCCCCGATATATCTTCGATATCCATTCTCCAATATGGATTTTGACCTTCCGAAAAGTCCCCGGTGACCGATATTTAAAACCTTGGCTGGAGCATATCTGCCTATACATACACAAATATCACCCATCTTGTCACATTGATAAAAGTGAAACACACTATTTTTTCAAATATTTTCTACCCTTTGAAAAAAAAGGTTGTTAAGACTAGTTTAAATTGTTGTATTTTAATACCTCATTCAAAGTAAGATCAACTTGTTTGATTTTGAAAATAGCAGGTTGGTTCTGGTGCTGGCTTGATTGGTATTTCTCTTATACGTGTTGGAGCTTCTGAGGTATGTCATAAACATACTGATTTAAAACAAAAGATTACTCATTAATTATTTTCAGGTTTATTTTCTTTTACTTCTTAATACTTGCTGGGTGGAGTTTTACCATCTAATTCATATTTTTCTTAGAATAGAAGTCATGTTTAGAATAGAACTGCTTAGAATAGAAATCATGTTTTACTTGTATAACATGGCATATGTATACTTGTTGCCCGAAATAGAAATTCATAAACCAAATTGCATACATCCAAACTATTTTCATGAGTATACTTTTGTTATTGAAAGGGTACAAATAAGACTTGCCCATAATGACTTAGATAAGTACTGCATAGGCGAAATATGTTCTCAACAGTTAGCATGTTCGTTTGCCCTCATCCTTGAAATCTTCCTTCTTAGGATGCAGCCATTGAAACTCTTTTCTTTTTGTAAGTTTACACTATTTGGATCACTATTTAATTTATTTACAAACCTTCCACCTTGCAAAAATGACTTGCCCATAATGACTTAGATAAGTACTGCATAAGCGAAATATGTTCTCAACAAATTTTGCATGTACGTTTGCCCCTATGTTGCCTAGATACGGGTGCGGGTACGGGTACAGGACACGGCAAATTTGTAAAAAGTAGGGTATGGGGACACGGCTGTATATATATAAAATAATTAACTTTAGATCAGTATTGAATTAAATACATATTACATTTGCAAATATACCCCAAAATATGACAAACATCCCTCAAAATATTACAATATATTGTTTAAAGTTGCAAATATACCTTCAAAAGTTAGTTCTATATCCCAAAAACTTACAACTAACTAGCATATTTCAAAAGTTAAAAACTATATTCCTTGCATAAGAAATAGAAACCTATTTTTATTTTAATTAAAAATTTTGAACTAATATTATTACTTATATAAACCCAAACCCAAACCCCTCCCGATATAAAACCCAAACCCAAACCCCCCTCCTATATAAAACACAAACCAAAACCAAAACTCCAAACTCCTCCCCATATAAAAAACAAACGGGCGATGAAAAAAACCCAAACCCGAACCCAAACCCAAACCCGAACCCAAACCCAAACCCCTCCCCATATAAAACCTCAACCTCCCCCCTCTAGGGTTTCTGCCTCCTCCCATTTCTCCTCTGTCTTCGTCGCCTCCTCGCCTCCTCCCATTTCTCCGTCTTCGTCGCCTCCCATTTCTCCTCGCCAATCTCTAGGGTTTTCGTCGTCGTCGTCGTCGTCGAGGAACATGATTCGTCGTCGAGGAGCTGTTTCGTCGTCGAGGCGTTGAAATTGCTTCGTCGAGGCTCCTGATTTCGTCGTCGAGGAGCAGGATTCGTCGCTTCCATTGATGGGGTCGTCGCTTCAGTCGATGAGTTCAAAGGTGGTGAAGGCAGAATCGCTTCAGAGCACTGGGTATTTCAAGGTGTTGAAGGAAAAATTTCAGGTTCGTTTTTTTGTCCTTGCGAGTGAAGTAGCCGCGGATCCGCACCCAATACGTACCCGACACGGGTATGAGACCAAAAATCCCGTGTCGGGGTAACATAGGTTTGCCCTCATCCTTGAAATCTTGCTTCGTAGGAAACAACCACTAAAAACTCTATTTTTTGTAAATTTACACTATTTGGATCACCATTGAATTTATTTAGAAACCTTCCACTTTGCCTCGTGCATTAGCTACTTTATTTAAGGGAATTCCAGTTATGTTAACTCAGTTGTAATGCTTTTTGTTAAAACTCCTCTGCTGTCTTTTTAAGTGATCAACTGCTTTCTTTTTTGCTACTTCTACTCATAATATGAACATAAAGAGTTTTTAATTTCTACGTTAATGTTCAAAAACTGGGTTCTATTATGTCCCGGAGGGAGTAATGATAAATTGGATTATGTGGAACTATGCAATTTTTAATTTTTAACATGTATGTATTATTTATCATATACTAAAATATACAAAATTCATGAAAGAAAAGATGTATTTAAAAAAATCAAACAGACATGCAATTGAATAGTCAATAACTAGTTAATTACTTAAAATTCAATCCATGCATTAAAATTATGTAGTACTATTAATCTACTAGCACAAATAACTCCACAGGTAACTAGAACTTAGAACCACAAGCAACATGCACAATCAATTCTTGTTATTATTATGTATAATTTAACTAACTTGGTGGCTTTTCTTTACTGCCTTTTCTTTAAACTATACTGTAACTAACTAACATACTTACCAAAATAAATCACAGGCAACAAAGAATCAAAGATTACTGGATTGTAGTGTTAGAAAAGAACAAAGAATTAAACTCTAATTCCTAAAATTTATGCAATTAGAAACAAAAAGGAAATAAGAAAAACTCACATGGGGCAATCAACCACGGGAACAGTTGCATTTGGCAGCAAAAGACGGCGGGGATAGAGAACACCAGTGAAAAATGGCAGAGAGATCGTGTGTTTGGAGGAAAAATTAGGGTTAGAGCTTTTCTTATACTAGGTTAAGTATGTTGGGTTTGATTACTATGGGAAACTACCCAAAAGTTAAAAAGAAAAATGCCACATAAACAGTTTATGCAAGCGCCTAATGAAAACGGTCAATTATGAGCGCCTTTTCTCATTCTTATGTGGATCAGGTCCTCATCTGCATAAGCGGCCAATTATATGGCTGCATAATCAGTTTTTTTTAACATTGTTCTATGTAGATGGTACTTGAATGGCCAGGGTACTAGCATGTTGGTGACAAACTGTGATCTATATAGCAAGGTTTTAAATATCGGATGTCGGGTTCATGTCGCTCGGCCAAAATTCATGTCGGATAGCGGAAATCGGGGATATATCGGGGGACATGAAAAAAATATCGGATTGCCATATCGGATAGGTTGATATAATATCATAAATAGAATCTTCACATACTTGATAATTATATTGTCTAAACATATGAAAAAGTACATATGAGAAGGTCTTCATTTTCACAAGCAACCACCAAGTTTTTGTTTTTGCAAAGAAAACCAAATAGACACTAGAACAGCTTAACTGCATATGTTTAGACAATTCTTATTAAAGTATAATAATTATCCAGAATATAAAAATTACTAATACAATTCTTTATACACAACTTTATTTATTAATGTAAAGATTTATTAATTGTTCAATTTAAGAATTTATGTTATTATAAAAGTCACTTCATAATTTTACACTAAAAAAAAATGTTCACATACAAAGCGCGTGCATTATACTAGTAGGAACAAAAAGAAAATTCTACTGAAATTGAAAATTAAACTCGTAATTGCTATTCTAAACTACTTAACTGCATCGACTAACAATTGCAGGATTTTTATTATATATCTGTCATTTCTCCAAACAAGAAACTAGTAAAACCGAAGTATATGTGCACCTAATACAAATAAATTCATGTGTTCTTATAGCCTTCCATTATAAAGAAAACACATGCAATAACAAGTAATTAAAACCTACAACAAGCACCCATATGGGTAGTGGATGGGAAACAATGTGAAACTTTACATAAATAGAAGGTGAAAGATATTGCAAATCATATGATTTCAACATGTCAATGTGAAACCGATATTTCTGAATTTTGGCCGATATTTGATGGCCGAAATGTCGCCCGATATATCCGCTATTTTCCGACATGTCCCCGACATGACATCAAAAACACCATACGCATTAAATTCAACAATTTCGTGGCGGCTAGGCTCCGAATCCGCAATATCGGCCGTCATGTCCGACATGGCGGCCGATATTTAAAACACTGCT